CGCAAGGTTAATGAGTACGATCTCGCACCCTCATGCAAATGCCTCTGTTTGTCCTTCACATTACGCCATGATATTGTGGAAAAACGCAATGAATTGCATAAACTTGACATTGTGCTCATTGAATCCAATAAATGTGTTCCCTGGGTACATGCAATTGTAGCTCTTTCGTTCAAAACCATGGATATTTCGATATTATATAAACAGGGCGCATTTTTACGCGGTATATACGTTGCATTGGAAACCATGTCGAACCCGGCGAGGCGGGATGATGAAACATTTCATCGGTAAATAAAACTTTATGTCAAAAAATGTTGTCGGTAATTTTCATTTTTGTGTGAATCTGATATGTTACCATGACAATGATGGATTTTCGTGTGTGTGGTATTATTGTTATGGCATAAATCGGGTGTCGTTTCATTACACAATTATTGAGGACATATATATTCACGCCCACATACTGACGTAGTCATGAATGGGGTATGGATGCGGTTAACGGTTTAAATTGAAATAAATATTCATAGACGGCAACATATATTCCCTTCTTCAGGACTTTTGAAACAAAGACTACAGACAATATTTTTATATTCTTGCTTTTAGCAAAATAAAAGACACATTTTCACCAAACATTCAACAAAAGTAAATAAACAAATACAAGAGCAAACTAACTACTAAATTACTTAAACATAAACCGTATTAACCACACCATATAAGCCACTCCAAGTGGCAAGCTGACATGACATCATAGCTGGCAGTGTTAGATCAGTTTTGATTGTATATCCTCTGCCATGGCGATGACACACTACTGTTGGACAGTGTTAATGAGTCTTCTGATTTCGGGATATTCAGAAGGTAGGTGACAGTGTCTAATTCAACATGATAAGTATGTATTTGTCCCTGAATTCATATATATATATATACCCGACGTGCGTTTATAAAATATGGCCTTTGGACCCCGAGTTGTACTATTAAACCTGTGTGTTTCCTCGTTGCAAATGGAATAATCTCAGTATCTCCGTAACTTTACACACATGTCCGCAGATTGTGAAGCATTTATGTGAAGGGCCCGAATCTCACGTTTCAATGAAACAAGGGTCGTCAGGTTTGTCTTCCGCCACAAACCGTTACGATGAATTAACTAATATCTGTTTACATGTATAATGAATGAGTGCTGGGAATGAGGAGCACCGATGTTATATTTAGAAGGTTGTGTCGACACATCCCATCAATATGAAATATATATGCGGTATGGTAATTCCAACATCACAAGATACCCTTCATCTTGTTGCTTTTTCCACCGTAGAATTAATGGCATCCGCCTAATGCGCATCCAGCTGCTATTACGAGTCGAAAATAAAAACATGGCCGTCCACTATGAAAGAAGCCAATTACATAATATCACCGTATACTATCGCTAGACAATTTTAACCGATACGCTGCGAGTTTGTTGGGTAGTGTAGATAACACTTTGAATGAAACATACATGTGTTCAACATTAATTAATACAGTATGGTCAAACATCAGTGGTAATCAAATAAAATATGAAAAATGAAATCAACAATAAATGTAATATATGTAGTATATTACATAATGCTAATTTTACAAAGAGTGACATGTTTAGATTATCGATATTATTAATATTTAGTTAATTAACTATAACTGATGGAATTTTATTGACTTGAACCGACACCTATCTCCGTGTGTAGTCTAACTGGGAGTGATGAATAGACAAGGATCCTTTTGAAATTTGATTAATAGTTAACAAGTTTTATCTTAGACAAATAACACTAAATTTCAGATGTCAAAGGTGAATTTAGATGTATTTCAAACTTAGAAATAAGACTATTATCGTTTGTCAATATCTTGTTTGACATTACCACGGAGAATATCAGTACACAAGCAACACCAGACATCGGCATATCATTTGAAA